ATATGTATATATATAATTACATACATAGAAAATGAATTTGTTTTTATTTGCATATTCTTTTGTTTATTTTCTTTTTCAATAAAAAAAGTCAAGAAATCTTATTGCTTCATAGCTCGAGCCGGAGACACCAGAAAATGTATGGTGTTGGTGTTGGTGTTGATCACAATCGATTAATCGATATCGCAACAAGGGCCACTACAAATAACATTCTTAACCAAATTATTAATGTATTGCCTGTAAAAATGCTGGATATATTTCGATTATTTTTGCCTTCGGTTATCGATTTCAGCTATCAATTATCGATAAGTATGCATACTTTAATAAATGCAACTGTTATAAAACAGTAACTTGACGCTCAACTTATGCCAAATTTGTTATCGATTAATCGATTTTGCATAGAGGCGGCCTGCCTTTAAGCTACCATAACTTAATTCTATGATTTGTACATGAGCCGTGGCTTTATAACCCCCTAAATATGTTATCGATATCCAGCTCAGCTTCAGTCGTTTTGTGTTGGAAATTTTCCAACTACACACATACATATACATAGATATCTATATGTATATGTGCAGAGCCTAGCGAGCTCCATAGGTGCACGTGGCAACAGAGCTCGGCCAGGCAACCTTGTGCGCCAGCTACACTACCATGAGATCATCCAAATTGGCTAAGATATATGAACTCTTATTTTTTCGGTTGTTTTGTTTTGGTTTTATTTTGTATTTTGAATTTTTTTTTTTTTGGCGATTTGCTTAGCTGAACTTTTGCTGCGACCCAGCTCAGGGTCATGTCGCCATTTGGGGGTCACCAAAGACAACGAAAACAAAATTGTTATAAACAAATAGATCTGCAAAGCGACCAAACGAGCGCAACAGAGAGAGAGAGAGAGAGAGAGAGAGATGGGTAGAGGGAAAGGGAGATGGAGAGAGTCAGAGGTAGAGCAACTGTTCCGTTGACTGCATTTCGCTATTTCGAATGTCAAATTTAAAAATTCAGAGCTCAACTAAACTATTTGGTGAATAGCTGCTGGAGCTGAGCGGTAGCTGCGGGGGCTGTGGAGACTGCGCTGGAAAGGGAGAGTTCATGGGCTTGGCGTATCGCTGATTTGTGGCCAATGGCGCAGGCGTTCAACGACTCGATGAGCTTGAACCCATTACCAATCAAAATTACGAGCAAAATAAACAAGGGAAACAAATATATAAATAAATCTTGTTTTTAGTTTGTTTGTTTTTTTTTTTAGGACAGCAAAGCCCATGCGAATGCCCTATTAGGTAGCAGAGGTCTAGGCTTGGATCAAACATCTATCCCTATCTCTCTGTTCTATTTAGAGAGGTGTCATTATCTTCTCTCTCTATCTCCCACTTCTTCTTTCACTTTCACCACCATTTGCAATAGTACAAATTCTACTACAGGGTATCCATAAGTGCAGCACTCTTTAAATGCATCTGGTTTCGGGCTCGAGCTTTGGTTAAGGCATGTCTACCAATATCATGAACAGCTTCATTAAAGAAAAGTGATAAGCTTCCACCCAAGTTTCTTCCTGATTAGTAGACTTATAATTTACTTTAGTTCACCATTCATATATTTTTCT